GGGTAAATTTACAATGTACGCAAAGTCATTTTGTTGTTTTTCAATTGTAAAATTTTGGTTTTGATGGAGGTGGGTCTATCGTTTTGGGGGGATTTTTTGTTGTTGCCGTATTTTGCAGTATGCTCAGTTTATTTTTGTATTTCTTTGGTGTGGTTGAGATTTTTTACTTGTGCATTACAGTCAACGTTCATTTTGTTTATATGATATGGTCAATTATTATCTTTTTCATATTGTGATATATTCAAATATTATTTGGATTCTTGTGATATGGTCAGGCCATGTTATGTATTCTCATCTGATCTACGTTCATTTAGTATATTGTGATATGCTCCGTTGCTTTTTCTACATAGTGATATAGCCAAAACTCATTTTGTATTTTGTGATATAATCAAAATTCATCCCGTTGGTTTATTTTATTATTATGCGTATATATTGGTGCTTTGTTAGAAAGCACCATAAGTAGCTTAGTTCTTTTTTGCTATCAGTATGCTCCCTCTCAGTGTAGCTTCTCAAACAAACCTTATACTCAGTGTTCAACATTGTAAAATACCTTACTGTTGTTGATATCTGGTTAAGTGCTTCACCATGGCACACAGATGGCGCAAGTTCTATTCCCAAATGGGGAAAATTTTGTGGAGTATCTCATTCTTTTGCTGGGATGGGTCTGATAGATAGGGTCGAAGCCCACCTCTTGAATGATTGAAATTGTGTCAGTGGTGGCGTGACATGCATATGTTTTAATTTTTTATGTTGGAAATTTTCGTATGTTTTTCCAGAGTGCTTCTATATCCATTAGTTGGCATGATTTCATTACACTTTAATGTGTATTGTCAGTTTTTAAAAAGTGCTGTGACATACGATATTGTCATTTTTTCCAAACTTGCTCCCATCATGGCGGAGGAGCTGGGCCCAGGTCAGTCCCATTGTGAGTGTAGCGGTGTGTCTTTCTAGACCTGCATGTTTGCCGACAATCGTCTGAAATCCGACAATTGCGACCCCACCCGCGAGCCGGCCGATGCTATCGCTAGGCCCACCTGTATCAGTCAATGTGCAAAGTGCGAGGCCTGGCCGACTGCCAGCGCCCCCTTTTTCTCCCGTCGGCTTTTTCGACACTTTCGTTTTCGTGCCGGCGTCGGCGTTTCCGACATAATTGTCGGAACCTAAGTAGAAATGCGAATGCGAAAAAGGACGACGACCTAAATTATCTACTTTCAGTTTCGTGCTCGAGCGGCCATTTTGAATTTCGTTTGTTGACAAATTCAATTGTTCAGATCATGTGGATTCATTCAAGTCCGACTCACTTGTTCTAATAGAATCTAGATCTAGATTCATATAGATCATTATAGACCTCAATGGAGGATTCATATTCCAATTCTATTGTGTCAAACCCTATCATAGGTTGTGCTGTAATATTAATGTTGGTAAAAAGCATTTCATCAGGTGCGTGAATTATTTATAGAATCTATACTCAGCTGATTCCTATTCACTTGTTCTCGGTCTAGATTTATTTAGATTACTAGATCTAGATCTATATATGGAGGATTCATATTCCAACTATATTGTGTTATATTGTATCAAACCCTATTAGAGCAATGTAGATGTAGGCCATATTATGCATGCTCTTTGTTTTGGAGTGGGGGTTTTTGGGGGGGGGGTTTTTTCATTTTGGACTTGTGCTGGCCTTTTTACATGAGGCCCATTGCAGGTTCTTTTTTCGGGTAGGGTTAGGGTTAGGTCTCTTCTTTATTGTGTTTGTTGGGGTGGTCGCTCGTTACTCGGAAAAGTCCTTCCTTATGACACCCACAAAAGCTCTTATTGGGGGGGGGGGGGGGTGCGCAAAATTTTCAGACAATCTGGTTGAGGATCACATGCAGGTCTAGTCTTTCCCTTCCGCATGCAGCAGGCCATAGACAGTAGCACATCCGCAACACATTTGTGGTACCTCCGCTGGAGGCTTGGCATTTGCTGAATCTGGGCTGTTTGAATTTAAAACCTTGTATCTAACACTTACATTTTGTTGATAAATGGAGGGGGAAAACTTTTATGTAGAAAATTCTTCTAGCAAGCATAGACTCTTGGCGTGAAACAGAATAATTTAAAGGTTTATTATATAAATTATGTTCAAATAGTATTTAATCTTTATATTATAATGTTTGAAACAAAAAGTCGATATTTGACCCAGATAACCCCCCCCCCAGGCCGTTCGGCTGACTGAAGTGTCTTTAGGCCATTCTTAAAGAGGGGCCATTGACTTTTTCTTATGCACAGTAGAATTATAAATGGTCTGAATCAACAATGTCATGCTCTTGACTGTGCCTGAACGGCAACAGGGAACTGCTGCTTTTTCTTACCTTATCCTTACTATCGTCAGTTTATCCTCTACGTCTTTTGTATGTTTGTCACACTTTTGTGACCAGTTATTTCCGTGTTGCCTTGATTGTCGAAGCAGACTTTTGTGCTGTTCAAGCTAGAGAGGTGAGCAGAGTAAGCCTGATTCCCTGTAAAGACTTCTTTGTTGACATCCACCCCTTGGCGCTCATATCACAGTATACAGTTGCGAGCGCCGTAAAGCCTCTACTAAAACAAACAAAAGACCCAGATTCTTATATGTGTGGGAGCCTGGGAAAACTAGGCTCTTGTCAATTTTTTTACTTTTCAAACTAAGAAGACTGTCATGCTATTGCACTTTCAGTTTTCTACTTGTCTAAAATTTTCGGTATATTTTAATTGTTGGCGATGTTATGGTATTTTGAAAATAACTTATTTAAAGTTTTGAGAAAAATGTATTTGATGATCGGCAACGTGTTTTCTTGAAATTTTTGGGTTCTTATCTAAATTGCAAATAGTTAACAACAATAGATAACCACTTTTTAAATCCTGTATCGAAATAACAGGGCAAAGAAAAAGTGAAAAAGTAGGGATAAATGGTTTTAATTTATTACTCCTCCCCAAGCTTCAAAATTACTCATTTGAAAGAGAAACACAGAGAACACTTCACAAAATGTTGTAAAATGTATTTTGCACTTTTCAGCCTGTTTAAAATCATAATTTTTTTATAGATGGGGAATAAATCTAAATTAATAATTCTTGGAAATTTTTTTTTTTTAAGTTAAAAAAAAAATCAATCTTTAGTCATTTTTCAGCTTTTGCTTGATACCCTCCTGATTAGTGACATTGGGCTGATTCTCTCTTTCTCTCTCTCACACACATACACACTCGCACACACACACACATGAGGTTTTTTTTTTAATTTTAATGTCGGTGTTGCAGCTGATACCATTTTCTGCACTCTATCATTTGCCAATTGGGTTCATAACTTTAAAAGTTTAAGATTTTGCAAGTGTGTTTTGTCTCTGATGATTGGATTGAATTTTGTTTTGTTGGGTTTTTGTCAGATGTCAGTGTCTGGGATTTCTTTATTATTCAGATATAACTCTCGGGAGTGATCAGTGTTGCTCTAATTTAGTTCACATGTATATTGTCCAGTTTGATCTATCTAGTGTGGCTTCCTTGATGTTATTTACATATTCTGACCGTTGTTCACTCAGTCCAAAATGTATAGGGTTTTTTTTTACCAAAAATTTTTTTTTTTTTTACCGTTTTAGAACTTGAATTTTTGTTGCCATACTTACAACTTTGCATGATGCGGTTGTAAGGCTTGTTGTAAGGCTTGTTGTAAGGCTTGTTGTAAGGGGTGCCGCGGCGAGGCTGAATGATTTTGAACTTTGCCTGACTCGGGCCACTATCTTAAGGCTTTATTGATGTATTGTGGGTGGTTGGAGAGTGCTCTGGTGTATTGTTCCTTTCCTATCAAACATCTTTCATCCTTATCTCTCCTTTTTTTCTTTGGCACCTGTATGACCTCTTTGTGTTGTAAGTGCCGAAAAACTTTTTTTTAAAATCTAAAAAAAAAGAAAAGAAAAATTATTTTGTTTACTTTGTTTCTGTGTGACTCACGTGTGTGTTTTGCCAGTCTTGTTTCTTTCCCAGCACCACAAACTGACCTCGTCAGTCTCAAGTTAACCCCCCCCGGGACGGTGCTACTGACTGAAGTGTCTTTTTGCCATTCCCAAAGGGGGGATGTGGGTGGTTGGCGGGTGCTCTGGTGTGGTTTGCTCCTTCTTTCCTATCCAACATCTATTGTCCTTATCTCGCTGTCTTTTTTCTTTGTTTGTTACTCTCTTGTAACACCTCTAATCTTCTGGTGCTTATATGACCTTATGCAGTTGTGAGTGCCGTAAAACCTCTACTAAAACTAAAACTAAATGTCGGGACATTGACGTGTTCTTATGCACAGTGAAACTGTAAATGGACTGATTCATCAATGTCATGCTCATAACTGTGCCTGAACTGCAACCGGGAACTGCTTTTTCTTTCCTAATCCTTACTATTGTTATTTTTCCTCCACTTCTTTTGTATGTTTGTCATGTTCTTGTGACCCGCTATTTCAGGGGTGCCTTGATAGTCGAAGCAGACTTTGTGCTGTTGAAGCTAGAGAGGTGAGCAGAGTAAGCCTGTTTCCCTGTAGGGACTTCTCTGTTGACATCCGCCCCTTGGCGCTCATAATATGACCTTATTCAGTTGTGAGCGCCATAAAAACTCTACTTAAACTAAGACTAAAGACTCAAGTTTGGGATGACTGTCACTGTGCAATGTATTTTTAACCCACTCAAACAAACCAACTAACAGATATCATGTACTTTATTATATTACTTCTTGCCATACCAAAGCTGTGCAGTTAGTTGGAGGATGTCACTGTTTGGCAGATCTGACATCTTCTCTTGTTGTTTCTATCTGTTTTACTCTTCCCCTGCACTGAATGACCCATCTGTTGTATTGATGTGCTTTGCCCTACATTTTTTCTTTCTCTCTGTTGTTTCTGTCTGCCTCACTTTTCCCCTGCACTTAGTGACCTTCTATTGTATTTACAACCCTTTTTTATATGTAAACTAAACTGTACCATATCCTCTTCTTGTTCCCCTCCCCCCATGTGTGTGTAGGAACAGCTGTGCGGAGCCCAGGACATCTTTGAGGAGCGCGGCATCTCCCGGGTGGCCATCACGGTGGCCGCTCTGGTGGCCATGGGCAGCTCGCCACGCCAGTCGGCCGTATGACATCTGGCCGAGTCGCTGGGGGGTGTGGCCGGGGTGCTCATCATGCTGGTGCTGCTGGTGACCGCTACAGAGCAGCTGGGGCTGCCCGTCTACCCCTACCTGTAGTGTCCACCTGTACCCTCCAGGCCTGCCACAGGGGGGGGGGGGAGGAGGAGGAGAATCAAAGTCAAAATTGTCCAGGACAGCTGCCTATTGTCGAGGAGAAAAGTGGTTGTCTTAGACAAGTGCACATCTTTTAGTGTCATTGTTATAGAAAAAAAAAAGGGGGGGGGGAGGAGGTCGTTTGTACAGGTGATTGTCTCAGACAGGTGGCCAGTAGAGTGTGCTGTACAGTGCACTCTTTTGTCTGAGCCATCTGTTATTAAGATGAATGATGATGGCGGATTTCTTACTCTAGGAGGAGGAGGGTTTACTGTGGTGTAGACTGAGTGAGGGTGCTGCCACCATCACACACACATTGGCTGTGTCTTTCTGTCTTGGGGTTGGGTGCTCTCTCTCTCTCTCTCTCTCTCTCTCTCTCTCTCTCTCTCTCTCTCTCTCTCTCTCTCTCTCTCTCTCTCTCTCTCTCTCTCTCTCTCTCTCTCTCCTCTCTCTCTCTTTCTCTCTCTCTCTCTCTCTCTCTCTCTCTCTCTCTCTCTCTCTCACTCACACACACACACACACACACACACACACACACACACACACACACACACACACACACACACACACAGCAATTAGTTCACCTCAAAATAGATCTATGTATGTAGAACAATGTGTTTTTCTCAGTGAAAACCACCGCTCCCATGACAATGTATGTGTTACAACTCGGAACAATGTTGGACAAAACATTAGCCTCTACACAGATCAATACGAGGAAGCATATTCGTTTCCACCCAGGTCTACAGTAAACTATACGCTTTTCTCAACACACGTCAACAGTAGACAACACATGTGTCTCAACACAGGTCTGCACTAGATGACAATAACACAGGTCAACATTAGATGACACTTTTCTCTCAACACAGATCTACATTAGACGACACATTTCTCTTTACACAGGTCTACCCGAGATGACACATTTCTTTCAACACAGGTTAACATTAGATGACACAACACTGTAGCTCTGGTGTGTTTTGTCGAGGAGATTGTTGGTGACAGTCGCAGTGGTCAGTCTAATACTAATAGCAGGGACAATTCAAGCTGAGTACATCGTATTACTGTTTTAATTAGGCCACCAGGTTTTCTGTTTTAATTTTACTTGAACAATTTTCGTCAGTTGTTTTATTAACAATATATTACCCGGTACATGCTTTGTGATGTTTTCTGTGAGTGGACGAGGGTGAGCTTTTTACTTGTGAGGAGTCTTTACTGAACTGACCAATGGTAAGTGCTGGCCTGGAGGTTCTGCCTCTAACTGTCTGCGACTCAGTGGAGGGGTCAGAAAAGCACTCGCTCTCTATCTGTTGCTGTGTGTGTGTATTTTTGGTTAGTGCGTGTGAGTGTGTGTCGGGCATGTTTTTTTCTTTTGTTTTGTTGTTGGGGTGGGGTTGTTGTTGGGTTGGGGTTTTTTTTTGGGGGGGTGTCTCTCTTGTTTGCTCAGAAAACTGCTTGGGTGTGTGACTGCATATATGCTCTGCTGATTTGGCCTTTTGTTTTTGCTTTTACTTATGTTCCCTGGTAGCATTTGACCCTTTGGCATTGCGAGAGAGAGAGGGGGGGGGGGGGAAAGGAGGGAGCGAGAGAGAGAGAAGGAAAAGCAGGGTTCCCTTGATCCCAGTCCCAAGGCCCCCACTAGCCTCCAGTGTTTTGGAATGTTTGGGAATCTTTTTTTTCTTTGGCAAGTTTTGTTTTTGTTTTCAGGTTCTATTTGTCATAATAATACAGGCTGCATGTTTAGGCATAGGACAACCGCTCTGTCTCTGTCAAATCATGTGCTCTGTGTATATATACAGTCGAATGTGAACCTGTCCAGTAAGACTACCCATTGTGGAGGAGAAAAGTGATCATATTGTACAGGTGGTCCTTCTGGTCAGTGTCATTGTAACTTATAAAGAAAAAAAAAATGAAAATTGCGGAACTGACTGATGTTCTCTAGATTAAGTCTAGTCAGGTTTTCAATTTAGAAAGGGTTGCTCAAATGGCGATGATTATCAACAGGGTAAAGTTGGGAATGCCATGCTTGCAGCAAATTTCACATACTTGAAAGTTTTTTCTCCCATCCACCTCTTTCACTTTCAGTAACTGCAGTTTGAGTTGCTGACTGTACACGTATTGTCGGCTTGCTAAATCTGCCGGAAAGAGTTAAATAGAAGTGAGAAAGAATACCAAATATCAGTGACCTCATGAAACATACAACATGCCATCATGTGCTCATGTGTGGGGCCTATTTGTACCTAGCTGTGCACAGACAATAGGCCATGACCAAACTTAAGTGGCGTGCCAGATGTGTCCTCACACCACTCGACCTATACACAGTGTGTAGGCGTATTGATGTGTGTGAAGGAGGTATGCAAACAGTGTACTGGCTATGCCACTCTCTGGCCGGCAATCAATACACATGCGCTCTCATGTCTCATTCATTCTTCTGTTTCGCCATCTTGAAGCATGTAAGACTTGATGATTAGCGTTGTGTGGGGGTTGCTAGTTATTTAGACTTGAATTTCTTTTTGGTCTAGAAATTTGCTAATCAAAGGTTTGCTTGCCAAGTCAAAGAAGAAAAAAAAAAGGTGATTTTCTTTTGTTATTTTTTCTGTTATTGGATCAACTGTATCGGGGTATTCAGTTTAAACGGACTCCACTGTTAATATATTTATTTCTATAAATTGTGTGTGTAGGTATGTGTAAATGGGTTCAAAAATATATTCTCACACACATACACACACTCACACACACACACACACACACACACACACACCGTCACATGCACTAGAACTGAAACAGCCGCCCACTGTCGAGGAAAAAAGTGGCTGTCTTACAGAGTCATTATAATGTAAAAAATACACAAAGGAGGAAATCGGTAGTGTTTTTTGTACAGTTTATTAATTTTATACACGTGGCCATTAGACCAGGTTCGACTGTATATATATGTGAGGCAGCCTGGTGGAATCAGGCTCTCGTCAAAATAATCAAAGTGAAGAAACTTGCATTTTTCCGTAGGTTTGTGAATTATTATCAAATTTGTGTTTTTCGGCTCAACACATTTCATGATCATTAAAGAATTCATTTCTGTGTGGAATTTTCTGAAAAACATTGATTAAAGGCACAAAAAATGTAAATTTTCAGTTACTACGGACTATTAAGATAAGGAAATAACTAATCTTTGGCGGCTATTTTCTCACTAATTTTACCTCTGAAAACAGGTGACCCCCACCTCCTTCAATCGCAAATATCTCGACTTGTATTCAAAATAAATGGATATTTCTTTCATCCAAATAAAGACAAGTGAACAAGCTTTAAGATGATACCAATAACTCTACATGCCCAAAAATTGACGAGCGCCTGATTCCACCACGCTGCCTCACATAATATACACCCACATACACACATGTAGCAGAGGAAGAGTCTGTACTGTCTGCTGTGTGTGCAATATTCTCTGTTGTTCCTGCACGCTCTGCTTGGCAATCTCAAGACTTTGCTAATATTGCCAGGTCTGGTTTCTTATGGAGCTGTGGTTTGTAACTTAACTTGTTTTGTTTTGCTCCTGATGTTTTTACTTTTAGTGTGTCCTGTAGTGTAATTACACATGAGTCATAATGTATGGTACTTTCTCTTGTTTTAATTATTCTAAAATTGTGATTACAACATGTGTTAGGAATGCTGTTTTGGGCCCACATTACTGCAGGACTTGTGTAATAATTTCTTGTCTGCTTGTGTCTGTTTAAATGTGAGTATTTGGTTGAGTGTATCAGTGTGTGTGTGTGTGTGAGAGAGAGAGATAGGTGTGTGTGTGTGTGAAAGAGAGAGAGAGAGAGAGATTGGGAATGCATGTGTATTTGTGTTTGCTTGGTATTGTGAGAGAGTATGCGTGCATATTACTGACACAGTGTTGAAAGCGTGTTCCTGTGTGTTCCCCACAGTGAGGAGAGCATGTTGTTGTTATAATGGTGTGCTCATACTTCGACCCATACTCTTGTCGGACCCAGCAGAGACTTTGCTCAGTCAGGACAGCTTGTTAGAAACCTGTCCAGTATCTACTTACCACTACCACTGCCCTACTGTCAACCAACAGCATCAGAAATCATTGCCAAATGTTGTTGATTCAGAATCATTGGTTCTCATAGTTCCATCTCTGTGCTCCATCTGTCATCTTTGTACAAGTCATTTTCAGTCTGTACTCTCCATCTTCTGCCTGTACGGCTCTTGTTTCATCTGTGTATTCTTGGTTCGTCTGTATAGTTCACTTTTTGAACTGTTCTGTGCATTCATTGTCTTCAAAGACTGAGCTTGTTCTGATAATCTTGAAAGATTTATTATATTATTTGGTCGTTTTGGAAGACTCTCAGCTCATTCTAATAAATCAAAGAAATCTTATTATCTGATTTAAATGTAAGTTTGGTCATTGGTAACTTTAAAGACTCTCTGCTCATACTGATAACCTGAAAAGACTTTCCCGCAAAGTTTTGATGATCATGTAGAGGAGGAAGATTGTCAGCTGAGACTTTCTCTAACACTTTGCTTGCTTTCTTTTTGGTTTTGGAAGTTCTGTCTTCATGACATGCAGCTCATATAACTTATTATAACCTCTCTGTGTTCAAAGAGGCGTCACTCTTGTAGCATATATAGCACTGTTTTCATTAAACCAATATCTACTGAGACCTTTGCTGGACCTCATTTGTTTACATGTGACTTGTGATTAATTCTTCTGAATCTCTGTCGTTCTTGCCAAGCTCTGGCAAGAGTTATTGTCCTCGCCAGTGGGTGTCTGTCTCGTAATGCTCTTAACGGTTCAATCAAAAGAGATAAGTTTGATTATCTGACTGAGAAGTCTTGTTTTCTTGAGGCGCCACCATTGTGCTGGGTCGCTGTGTCCCCTCAGCCTGTGTAGGCCGGGCGGGGTGGAAGAAGCTCTGCCCTGTCACGAACGACACACACATACAACGTACAGGGTTGTCCTGTGTCTGGGATGAGACCGGGCCGGCACAAGGGTCTACATTTCTGATATATCTAGGGAGGAAGTTT